AGTGCTCATGCTGAGTTTCTTGTTTCACGTTGTCTTTTGACCTACCCAAACCACACCGTTAACCAATTCCTTCCACAAAAATGCATCAGCAAGCAACCCTCATCCAGATGCTTCAGAAAGTGGATTGTTGAAAATGCAGCTGCTGGTGCATGGGTCCTGGAGAAGCCAGCCCTGCAAAGTATCAGTCTTCTCACATCATCTGGAGCTCTCACCCTGTGTGTTGGCCTAATTTTAGCTAAGAAGCTTACGTGAACACAAGCGTTGTGGTTGTAAACCATGGTTTAGGGCTTAGCATGGTGCTCTCAAGCTACCTATGCATCTGAGGGATGTGCCTGAACTCAGTTGTTGGGAAGCACTTAGATTTCTCAAGCCATTGATGAAAATGAGGAGCAGCAGGTTTTACAACCTGAAAATGTTTGCACTTTTAACTAATGGGAAAAGAGGAACACATTAAATAGTAACTGTTTACAAACAGTGCATGAAAGCAAGGAATTCCCAGGGAACTGCCATTATTTCTTAGCCCCCAAATAGTTAGAACTAGGGGAATTAATCAATTATATTTACACAGCATCCTTCTGCATCACTTGCTAAGGCATAATTTATTGAATAAACCAAAATAAACCAGATTCATAGAACATGCTAAGCCATAAACCATGATTTATATTGCAACTCATTATGGGCTGAGTTCAAATGACAAGCTAAGCCCAGAGCAAGCAGCCTATATTATGGTTTAGCATGAAATATGAAGAAGACAATTCTTGCCACCTAAGCAGGCTTGGGAAGATACAAATTTGCCTAAAGTTTGTGGTGGAAGTTTGACAAGGCCAACAATGGTCTCAGGATTAAAAAGAAAGGGAAAGAAATTACCTGTTGAACTATGGCTCCCACCATGCCTTCCTAATGACCATACTGGTTCAGTAGGATCCAGTTTCCTTATCCCTGACATATAGATGGAACTCATGTTTCAGTCAAAATCCAGGGGCTGATATTACTAATCAAAGGACTGATTACAGTTTACTGAATTAAGGACTAATGATGGCTGAAATATGTTGGGACTTATCCATGTTTCCCTGGAATGGCAACAGAGGGAAATCATGGGTATTCCATACTAAGTGAATTAACTAGGGTTACTCACAAAGCCAACTGTTCCAGATCAATTGTGAAGATGTGCTTCCAACTTGAACCATGGTTTTCGCCTGTAACTTGCAATTGCTATTCACTTTTTGACTGGAAGTCCTCAAGGCAATGGGCACTTCCTGATCTGAAGCAGAGTTGTGGGGTGGACTCTCTTCAATTAATAGCTGTGAACTTTTTTGAGTTTAAGGAGGCAAGCCTATCTCTAGCCCAACCTCCAGGGATCATTGTTTTCCAGCCTTCTCTAATGCATCCTCCAGATGTGTGCAACTTCAACTCCCATAATGCTCCAACTGTGGTATTACAAAAATCGAAGCCCAGCACACCTAAAGGCCTCTAGTCCTGTCTATAGGCTTCGAATCAAGTCTTTCTTGGTTGTTTCATAAAAAAATTCAACAGCTTAGGAGCCAAAACAAAGCCCTGCCTAACTTTACAAGCCAAGAACAGTCCCACAAAGACTGGACCATTGGCCATTCACACCCTGAATGACCCCAAATTCAGCACCATACATATCTTTCATTTTTGAAAAAAGGCCTTGCCTTCCCCACCACATCTCTTCCATTAGCTGGGTGGCTAACTCCTTGCACACAGAGCTGCAGAGGGCATCTTACCTTGGGCCTCCTCCCTGATAGCTCTCCTGGATAAAGGCCATGGTGATGAGAAATGGCCCCATTTCTTGAACTCTAGATTCCCAAGGTGGCCTCCAAATAATTGACCCTTGACATTCCCCAAATTTCATTTCCAGATTTCTTTTTAAGGATGCTTCTAACTAAAAATAAATCCAGTGAGAAACTGGATTACTGCCAGACAGTGTGCTAACCTCCAGCATGATCTTTATTTCCAAGAATGGTCTTAGGCTCCCCCCTTATACCCTGAAGGCCTTCTTAGGAAATAAAAAGATAAATAGCTGCAATCCAGGGCTCTATTTGAAAGGGGCCCCTTTTGTCAGGAAAACAAAATAATAATTTGACATTATCTTGGGAGACTTATGGGGTTAGGGGAGAACTGACTTCCTATTTTGCATTCTGGTACATGAATCTTGACTGGCCAGGCCCACCATGGCAGCCATATTGTGAGTGTCCTTACAACTTGCTCTCAAAATTCCCCTCTCATTGGAGACCCCTACCATAAACCAGCCCCATCTGTACTACCCATGAATCTACCCACCCCCAACATAATACTATCACTATAACACAATAGAAATTATTTGGGGAAGGGAAGGGTGTGGAGTTCCTTTCCTTATTCCTGTTATATCTAGGTTTACAATGGGAGTTGGCTTTTCTGTTCAGCAATAAGCACAAGGTCATGCTAAATTAAACACAGGAACTCCCTAAAGTGGGCGTTGATACAGGTCACAATCATGAAGACAGGGCCCAAAGCAGGCGGCTTTTTCAGTACACGGGATGGCTTCCACCTTTAAAAGAGAACCATTCCTATCACATCGACACAGAGCTGATTCTAGGTCTACCCCATCAGAGCCGCCGTGCAAACTCCATTCATCCTAAGGGGACTTGCTTTTCAAAAGCAGGTAGCTATTAGCAAATGTTAAAAAAAAAAATTAAAAAAATTCAGGGATTGCTATCTGAAGCTGACGGGCCCCACCAATCCACAGCTTCAGGTTGCCAGATAACTTTCAGCTTGCATTTCTTTCACTATAAACAGAGAAAAAAACTGGGACTTCACTGAGGGATAAAAATAGAAAGCAAAAGTGACTGAAATGTTCTCATCTCCTTTAATTGCTTCCTTATTCACTTTTGATTGTACTCTCTGTGGACAGCGAAAGTAAATAAAATATTAGGTACACCTTGACTTTAACTGTTGTGTGTATAACATGTATAGCCAATGCAAACACACGCGCGCGCACCAGGCCTGCTGCTTAGATCTTATTCTTTCTAGAATTGAAAACAGTTCTCATTCCTCAATATGCTATATTGGTTTTTTAGTTCATATTGAGGTCTTTATGTATTGTTCTAGCTGTGAACCGCATTTATCGATCATCCAGAAAGATGGGGCATTAAACAAACAAGGAAGCAGACTAGAAATGACTAACACATTGGCAAACAGTCTAGAAGAGTTTTTCCCATCCTGGCACTCTACAGATAAGATGGAACCACAGCTCTCAGGGTTATCAGCCCATTGAAGCTCTAGCAGCAGAACACTAAGTTGTGTGTGTGGGGGGGAGAAATGGCCCCTAGTCTGTCGGATAAGGAGGTCCCAATTTTCTTAGCACTAAGATGGTCTTAAAGAGAGGGTAAGGGTGCTGTAGGGTTCTTCTATTGGCTTTGCCTTTGTGTCCTATTTTGGAGGATTTTAAACCATAAAGCATCGTAAAGCACCGCGAAGCATCTAATGTATGTCCATTCAGAGGGCAGGAAGACAGCCTTGAATAAATCCAACCAGTAAAACCTGTGCTCACTGAGCTTGCAAATTATATTTGGTCCCTTGGCTTCAAAGGAGCTGAATCCAACCTGCCCCTTTTCAGATACTGCTTCTGAACAATGGGCTGAAACACCATGCCTTCAGCACCCAACCTGGGTTAGCAAAATTCTATGGATTTTTGGTACGTGCCTAAATGAGAAAAGCAACACTTGGTGAGATTCCCTCCTGTGGAAAAGGTTAATCTTGGTTTTCAAGCCTCAATGACTTTTGCGTTAAAACTTTAAAAAGACAGGTGGCAAAGTAAATGGCTATTATCAACCCCTATCCCATTAGTAGTTACAAAGCAGGTGCACTCCTGTTTTAGGAAAGGAGGAAAAATATCAAAGCTGCCATTTTTCCCACCCCACCTTTATTAACTTTTTTTTAATGCAGAAAAGATTTCTGAAGGGCTTAAGGAACATATTGAAAGGTCTAGGTCTCTTTAAAAGCAGACTTCTCTGGGGTCAGTAATCAGTGTCCTAAATTAAGTTCAGCTCCTTTCAGAGAAGACTTTCTAGGCAAAGTAGCAGAACTTCTCTGAAGATTCTTGGGGAGGTGAAGTAAAGAAGCAGAAAGAACTTGGCTCCAGTTTTGTTTCTGTGGGTACACTAAGTTTGTCATCCCCAACCACGGTGCCCTCTAGTGTGCTTTCGTGAGGACATGTACCATGACTGCAAGTCTAACCCAGGTGGGATTGCTCAAATTAAAAAGTAAAAGCAAAGAAGTTAAAACATGGATCTAAACACAAATTGCATTGGGCATGCTTTGAAAATGATTGCACAGCACATTTTTCTTTGGAGCTTCTGTGCAGGCCAGAAGATACATCTGTTTTAATGAGCTGACTCTTTAAAGCAGCTGCATCTCCGTTAATGCAAAAGCCCAGGAAAAGATGTAGCAGCTTTAAAGAGGCGCCGTCTGCACATTTTCACATGTTCTCCCAAATCATGCAGGCCCCCAAGATAACATATACAGCAAAAGACCTGAATGTCTTGATCTTCAATTCACTGTCACTCAACTACAGCCATTTATACGGCCTCTCAGGATACATATGTCCTTTGCGAGATCTGCACCTGACCTACCAAGACTGGCTGTGTTTGTTTCTCCACCTCTGCAAATGCTTTGAATTTGTGTTCATCACACGTACCACAGGCACACAGCCTCACAATGGCCTGGAAGGAGAGATTCCCAAGCTACATTGTTAGACAGAAAGTACACTGTGACATAAGCATCTGAAACATTTGCAAGAAATTTGCCTTGCATTCATAAACATGGCGTCAAGCCTCCCGCTTACTGGAACAAGGAAGCAATAACATTTATCTCCCCCAAGAGCAAACGAAAAGGATTAAAAACCAAGAACAGCTTTTTCCTGAAGGCATTTCCACTCTACCTGCATGTTGGGCCTTTAAAAAAAAAGAAAGAAATCCATGTTAAGTCCACTCATAGACTTGTTTAAAATAAAAATATTCAGTTGTTTATTCACATATTAAAACTGTACAAGCTAAAGGAAAGGACACAAAACACTTCTCAGGACTATTTTGTACATTACACAGTATATCAATTACCAAAACTAGAACTGTTAAACAAGTTATAAGACAGATGCAGCCAAGAAAGCAACTGGAGAGCTTTTCTTTTTTTAAAAAAAATGGAATTTAACAAAAATAGATGTTAACCAGCTACCAGTATTATACAATGATAAATACTTCAAAAATATATTAAGTTATATGGAGTTTCTGGATTTGACAGGAAATCCACAGAAATCCCAGCCTTCAATGGACTCCCAAATATACCAATTTTAAAAAGGTTCTTTTAATAGTTAAACAACTTCAGTTCAGAACTGGTTCTGCAGCCTTAACTGTTTTGGTATCAACATTCTTGACATCTAGTTGTAGTGTAAGTTAAGAGTTATGTCATTATAACAAAAACATGTAAGCTATAATGCTCTGTGCAACATGGAACTTGCAACTTTATGTGATTGAGTGGCCTCAGTATGATTTGCATTGCACCACAAGAGGAGTAAGCTCTTCATTCTTATTAATACTGGCTCACATTTCACAAGGCAATGATCCCTCCCCATCCCCCCCCCCCCCCACACACACAAAGAAGAAAGGCAAACACGTCTTCCACTTGGTTCCATCACAAGCCCACCATGAACACGTAGCGTAACACCCAGCACTCCACAGTTCCCAGGACAAATGGTGACCAGGTACAGCCCTCACGCCAAGATCCAGAAGGTGCCCAGTCTCAGGATGAGCGCAAAGAGGCATTCACCGACCACTGGTAGTGCCAGAAGGTGATGTGCTCAACTAAGTTTTGCCCCAACTCTAGTTAAAAATATATATTTATATATAGGTTTCTATCTTCGACCGTTGTAGAAATATAGAATGGACGTTTCGCTGGGACGTTAGCAGTTTTAGAAAGGAGCGTGCCCACCCATCCCATCTCCCTGCAGTCTAAGTCCACCGATGTGTTCTTATCGCACCACCAAGAGGAAAGCCAAGCCCGCTAAGCCAAATCCTGCTGCCGCCATAATAGCATTGCTTATGGTGCTGTTCTGGTCAGCTGCATCCGAATCGTGCTTATTGAAGAAGTGGTAGAAGCCGTCCTAGAAGAAAAGAGAGAGCGAGCAACATTAGGAGTCACGTTCATCTGAGACTCGACCACTGGCAGTTTCAAGAGCTTCTCTGTAAGCCAGATAATTTGCAGACTCCCACAATCTGTTACCCATCAAATGTGCTGGACTTCAATGCCCAGAATTCCAAGTCACCATGATAACTAAGTATGGTGAGAATTGGTCCAGCTGACATGGAACACACCAGGTTAGAAAAAGTAGGTTAGTCTCATATTGGCGCAAAGGAGACATTTAATGGCATTGGTGGGACGTGACGTCAAAAGATAAGAGGATACAAGCAGTCTTAAGTTAGGAGAGAAACGAAGAGGTGCCAAGCGTGTGATGTTCCTCCACAAAGTGAGCTGACAAACAAAGAGCTGCAAATCTGGAAGCAACACTGTGGATGGCACTAGAGATGCTTCAAGCGTCAAGACTTTGCTACTTCAATATATTTCCAAATCAAGTGGAAGGAGGAGAGATCCTGAACACCCATTAGCTGAATATGCATCTTTGATCTTTTTGACCAAGGAAACAGGCACAGCCTTTTGCCAATAGGGACAGATGACTGTACCATCAGCGACAGAAAAAACAAGGGTTGCGCTATTGTGCTTGCAATAAGAACGCGGCTGCCCAAACTCCACTCGGGAAGCCGATATCCCATTCGCACAAAACCAAACATCATTGTTACGTGCGTGTGTGCTTGTGCCAGAAATGAACCAGCAGCTGTGTTGCTGCCTCTTTATTCAGAATAATCAAGAATGACAAGAATATGACTCCAGATGGCCATGTTTGAACTCCTATCTGGCAGATGTCTATGCAAATTGGCCCTGCCCTTAATTTCTTTCGGAACTATGTTCTTTACCACTTTAATTTGGGCAAACATTGAGGAGACGGGAGGGTGGATGTCAGTTGACGCGTTTGCCAGCAGCGGCCACTCGGATCATTAACATTCAGGTGGGCTGCTTCTTGAGCAGGAGAACCAAATGGCACGAGCCACCATTCAGAGCTACTAGGGCAAAGGTGCCGGAGCGATTCCAACCGCAGAAAATATCCAACACCCCAAAATAAGGAGGTTGAGAAAGAAATATGTCTTTCCCTCTTCCCTTTAAAAACAGAACAAAACCCTGCCATTACATTACTGAGCATCACTCAGATTTCTTCTAAGATGGGAGCGTTAGAGGAGGAGCAGTTAAAACAGTAAAGAGGGTTGTAACCAAGAGGAGAAATAGAGGCTCTAAAAGAAATTAAGGGAGGTAGAAAGTCTATATCCATCAATTACTTCCTCTTGCAGTGATTCAGCACGGCCAAAATGCTTGCAGAGCCTTCCCCAGGATTTGGGATTCAAGCTCTGGTCTTATAATACAGCAAGAATGTGTAGAACTACATCCCACCAGGCAGAAGAAGAGCAAGTAGATACACCCTGTGGGCGCATTTGGACTTCCATTTTCTCCTTCCAGCCACCAATACCAAGGGGTCTTCTTATTCAAGGCAGCATTCTCCAACCCAGCACGGTTCAAAGCTGCAAAGGACTACAATTCCCAGAATTCCCAGTTTCAGTCTCTATCCTTCTGGCAGGTCCTAAGAGGGGGAAGGTGGATCTAAGACAAAGCTTAGATGGCTGCCAGAAACCCTCCCAAGGTTATCACCAAATGGTTACTCTTCACGTTCCAGGAAATGAAAAGTTACATGATTGGTATTCATATTCAATAAAATGTAGTTAAAGTAATCAGGGTTTACTTTTTTTTTAATCCATAGCCCGCCCACCCTTGAACATAAAAGGCAAAGGTTGGAAAGATCTTGGAAATCATCTAACCCTACTTTCCATCCAGTGCAGAAGTCCACTATCATAGCAACCTCAGCAGATGAGTCAGCCAGCCTCTCTTCAAAAGCCTCCAGCAAATCTCCAAGGCAGTCTGATTCATTCATGAACCATTTTTCCTATTAGGACGTTCTATGTCCAACCAGAACTTACTTCCTTGTAATTTAAACTCCTTGTTTCCCACTTGTCTTCTGGGATGTCTGCCTCATCTTTTACGTGGTAGCCCTTCCCATCCTTGAAAACAGCTCTCGTGTCTCCCTGCAATCTTTTCTTCTCCAAGCTAAGCAATTCTTCTCCAGCACCTCCAACCATTCCTCACCAGCTGTTTCGTTCCAAGCTCCTGATCATCTGGGTTACTCCCCTCTCTCAACCTGGATAAAGGTGTCCACCTTGATGTAAGGGATAAAACTGGAGACCCACAATCTGTCATAGAAGCCAGTATCACAAATTGTCATTCTCCCCCACCCAAAAAAGAGTTTTCCCTTTTTGGAATGAAGATACCAGTCTTCTACAATAGGATTCCAATTATCAGCTCCTGGGAAAAGCAGCCACTTAAGTGTGGCTGGCAAAATTCAAATACACTGGAGAAGTTAAGTTCCTGGAAATAACTTTTTTTCGCAGTAAAGCCCATAACTACACCACATACCCACCACATGCAAAAGTCACACAAGGCGAATGTCCCAGCCTTGAAGAGTGTTGGGCTTCCAGACCTCTGTAGCCAGACATGACTCACACATGTTCTCATCCTCAAATCGCATAGGTGGGAAAAAAAATCTTATTGCCAGCAGACTTCAGAAAAACCTTATTGCCAGCTTCCAAGAAGATCCTTTTCCCTACCCGGGAAGCAGCATCTTATTTCACCTTTCATGGACTAGAAAATGCACTTTTGTCCAGTTTAAACCTTTGATGCAGCCTGTGGGCACCAGTCAAACGCAGAATACGATCGCAAAGATCCGGGGGTGGGGGCGGAAGGTGGAAACAACTGCCCACAAGTGAAGAGGTGGCTTTGAATAGACTTACTTTCTCTCCCCTGGCCTGTTTGAAAACCGAGAACTGAATGAAGGTTTCTATGTATTCTTTACCCGTAGTACTGTGAGAAATAGTTGCTTTGAAGTTGATTATTCACATTCCTGGCCAAGGTTTACACCCGCACCCACTCAACAATAGCTAGGGTTGGATTTTGCAGAGCAGCAAGAAATCCTACACTGGGGAGTGTTGGCGAGAGAACAAGCTTGTAATATACACAGAGGGAAGTTTCTATAACCTTCAGCTGGGCCAGATGCAAAAAAATAAAAAAAATTAAAAAGTTATCCCTTTGTTGTTGCTGACCTAAAAGATTAGCCAAGGACATTTCTTCTGCTATTAGCAATAACTTTCTCATCTTAGTGACCTCCAGGTGTCTGAGACTACAACTCCCAACTTCCCTAGCCAGTACAGCCAACAGGTTGGGATAGGTTGATCCTCACATCAAAAAAAAAAAAGGGGGGGGTGTTTTGCTGGCAGCCATCCAGTAACAGAGTTACTGTAACTCACGGGGTTCCTAGCTACATTGCCACAAACCTTATCAAGAAAGATAAAAAACGGGCTAGACTTGAGCTATCAGCAAGGGCTAGAAAGATGCCAAGCACTTAAGAATGCAAAAAATTCTCTCTTGTTCTGATTATATCCAAGACAAAGCAACAGCTTTTGTTGGTGGTAGTCTAACTCAAATAGGTGGATGGGAAAGTCCAATAAAAACTTGCAAGAACAAACCACGTTGCTGGAGTTGCATTTGATTTCCCATGGGGCTTTGTAGAATCAGCTGTGCCAGAGTCTCAGGGCCTCGGTTCCAACTCTGCATTAAGCCACAAGTACCTTTTTAATAAATAATAATAAAAAGAAATCCCCCCCCCAAAGTCACAAGTACCTTGGGGTTGGTTGGATCTAGGCTTTGTGGACCATGTGAACTGAGCCACTCTATATGCTAGCCATTTTGTGGCTTTGCCCAAGATGATGTGGCTTAGTCAATAAACCATGGATTGGCATGTGAAGCCAGCCAATGGAAAGACAGTATTAGGCTGGAGAAGGTCAAGTGCAGAAGAATTTCCACATTGCAGTTCTTGGCCCAGTTTTGATCAGAGATACCATTACAACTACCCAATCTTCACCACCCATAAGAAAAAAAGCAAAGATTTTACTGGAGAAGCCATGAAAACCTACCAGAACTGCCTGACATTCCTGTTTGCCTCAGTTTACTTTAAATAATGTATTTTAACCTTACAGAAGATGACATGAAAGACACTTCCCTGGCTGAACTTAACATGACAAGCTCTGCAGGGTTTATGAGAAGTTCATGGGAGGACAATCAACAGGATAGAATGTAAGAACTCAAGTCAATTTCTCCTAGATTAGACTAAAGGTCCAGGAACTACCCTCCCATGGTAGCCATCGCAGCCTTCAGAGAGCTCAGAAGCAGAGCTGGTATGAAACTGCAGCCTCCTGTTCCTCATTAGCTGGTACTCAACATATTTTCTCCTCTGAGCCTGGACATAATGTATAGTTGTAACTAGTATCCACGGACAGTCTTCTGCATGCATTTGCCTAACCCCATTCCAAGCCATCTAAGTTTGCCATTACACCAGAGTGCTAAAGCTGACGGGGAAAGCCCATGGCTCTCCGGAGGTTAATGGACTCTGATTTCCACCATCTGAACACAGCAACCAAGCAGACATTAGCTAATGGGAGGTGGAGCTCAATGACTCTAAATGTTGAGTGGGAAGTTCCCCACTTCTCCTTCTCATCTCCAAGGCATGCACGTGGTTAATTTGGTAACTTCGGGTCAGTCTCTGTCAGCCTAATATATTCCACAAAACCGTTTCATGGGGGCACTTCTATATATACACCTCTTGGAGGAAAAGTAGACTATACTGGAAACACAACTGCCATCTTAAGGCTTTGGAGATACCCTTCTTTACTACAGATAAAGGAGATACATCCTTTTGACTCAGCCACATTTTTCTCAATCAGCAGACACGAGCATAATTTCTGCTATTCCTTTCTTGCTCTTCATCTTTACTGCCTTTTGGTAAGGATCTGCCCTTGACAGCATCTGTGCAGCTTGAGCTGGTCCAGAATGTGGTATGTAATGGAGGGTGGAGAGCAAAACTTGTAACAAACATTGTAGGTCCTCCTTATGTTTCCCTGTTCCAAAGATTTTGGCTGGGAAATCTGTGCAAGCCTTAGGACACCACTTTCTTCTACCATAAACAAAGTACAGCTGGGTTTCTTTCATTCATCAAGGTTTAGGGCAAAAAGCTATCTTCCTATCAATACTGCCAGAGGAAGAATCCATTTGCTAGAACTCAAGAGTTCCAGATGCTGTCCAGTTTTGTAAAAAAGCAAATCGAATGGAGACCTACAAATTCTACATAAAGTATCAGCTGCATTTTCCATCTCCAGTTTCAAGGGACAGGCTGCTTTCCCACTACGTCAATTAAATACGAGCACATCTTGAGCAAAAAAAAGAGAAAAGAAAGCACTCTTTGGTTCAATGGTCAGGTCTAGGACACCACAGTTACAATCATCTGATGCAGAAATGCATGCACACCCACAGTTGCCATGGTGCACGCTTCCAAACTCCTGGGATTATACCACCCTCCTTCTATTTAACTACACACAGGCTCAATTCACACACCTTGCTAAGCCATAAATTGAGTTGCCCAGTTTTGCCTTAGTATATATGCAAATCCAGCCAGTGGCTTGTAAACCACTGTTTCAGTTCAACATGTTACACAAGCCCAGTGAGCTGTGGTTTATTTTTTGCAAACCATGGTTATCATGGTTTCATGAGATGCACGACTCTAATCTCAAGGTTCTTGATCTGAAGAGTACCATCTGTTTTCCTGCCAGGCTGGACTAGCATAAAGCAAGACAGCTGCTTTACTACCTGCCTGTGAACTAAAATTCACAGGAAACCTATTCCTCTGTAAAGTAAATATTTTTAAATACTGGACAACGTACGGGTCTGTTGGCAAGCAATCTACACTTGGAAGAAGATATCCAGGGGCGGCCCTTTACCTGGTCAGCCCTGAAGACCAGAACGGTCCTGCTTTGTGCTAGTCCCAATTTCAGAGGAGGCCGTTCGGAAGACAAGACCCTGTCAATCCAGAAGAACCAGGGCCCAACTGGGGGGAGGTTCACTCATCGCATTAAGCCAGGGTTTGCTTAACTATGATCTGAACAGGTCCTAGCAGGCTGGTTTCGAACAGCACATTAAACCCTAAGCTACAGTTAGACCACAGTGCCTGGAATGCACTAAAGCCATTAGCAGATGAATCACGTGGCTTAGCAGAACATGGGAAAAGCCACACCAGAGTAGCACGAAACTGTGCAGAGAAGCTCCCTGGGATGTGTCGGGGGACAGGAGGCTACCTTAAGCTGGAGGACCCGCAAGACTAAAGACAAAGAACTCTTGCCCCAATTCTGCCCATCCAGGCGGATTCAGGTGGCCTTCTGAAGAGGAGGAGAAGTTGGTTCGCCTGGGCAAAAGGCATCAACGCTGCAGGCCAAGCAACCAAGTTGGTGTTTTTTCAGGGCACCTTCCTTCGAAGCCCTTCACCCTGGCAGGCTCTGCTGGCACCCTCTGCTTCAAGGGAGGCGCCAGGGCCTCTAGCCTCCCTCGGCCGGGCACAGCTGGGCCCAGAAGCCAGGCCGCCCAGCCCGGCCTCCAACCGTGGGCAGCTCTTCTCCAGCGTGTGCGCGGCATGAATAATGCGGCTGCTCTGCGCTCAAGCTGCCGCCCGG